TGCCCCAGCTCTCGATGGTGCGCGTGGCCCGGTCCAGAGAGTCGCTCACGCCCGCTGTGGTCACCATGTCGCGCGCCGCCTGCAGCATCTTGAGCACGCTGGCCTGGGCCGAGCCGGCGGTGAGGTCTGGGCTGGCCTGCCGCGCGGGGCTGGCGAGGCTCTGCACCCCGCCGAAGCAGCTGTAGATGCCCTGGGCAGGAGAGGGGAAGCAGGCTGTGAGCGGCCCGCCCTGTCCGAAGCCTCAGCCTTCTAAGTCCTAGAAGCAACTATTCTGGAGAATCCCTAGGTGCCAGGCATCACGCTGCGTTACAGATGGAGATATCTGAGCTCTGCAGGTTGACTCCTTGTCCTAATCACAGGATATGGTACAGGGAGCGGTGAGTACCCCAGCCCTCATGCTGCAAGCCGTGCCGCCTCTCAGGACCTCAGTCCGTACATCTGCAAACGAGGCTGAGGCCAGCTCTGCCTGATCTGGGTTGGGGCCCTAAAACTGGGCTGTGGGCAGGGGTGGGCACCTACCCTGCTGAAGGCCAGCAGAAAGTCCAGCTGGGATGTGCTGGGTACGGAGTGGCGCAGCTTCCAGTAGACCAGGTGCTCCCAGGCAAAGACCAGCAGGGCCAGCCCCATGGCCACCAACAGCATGTAGAAGACCCCAGCCATGTTGTCGATGTCCAGCTTGCTGCTCATCACCTCATTCTTCTCATTCTGGCAGATCCCGGAGAGCCAGACTGTCTCCAGTTTCTGTGTCTCTCCTGGGGGAGGAGGGCACACCTGCTCAGGAGACCCCATAGCGGATGTCCACAAGCCTGCGTGGAGGAGGGTCTGCAGCCAGCATGCCACCCCCTGTGTCTCAAGTGGACCACCCAGGGAGCTCAGCAGAGCCAAGATGGAGTCAATAAGCAAAAAGTCAACAAGCAAGAAGGAAAAGGCCAGGTGTGCAGTGTATACCGGTAATCTGCACTCTAGAAGGCTGAGGCAGGAGGATTGCAAATTGAAGCCCAGCCTGGGCAATTTAGCAACTTAGTGATACCCTGTCTTAAAATAAAAAATATATATATTTTTTGTTTTGTTTGTACCGGAAATTAAACTCAGGACCTTGTACTTGCCAGGCAGGTGCTTGTGCCGCTGAGCTATATCCCCAGCCCCTAAAAAGATATTTTAAAAGAAGTTGAGGATGTAGCCCAGTGCAAAGGCCCTTGTTCAACACCCCCATACTGCCAAAAAGAAAGGGGAGGAGAAAAAGGAGGAGGAGGAGAGGAAAAGCAGGAAGAGGAAAAAGAAAAGCAGAGAGGGCGCTGGGGAGAGGGATGGGTTGAAGTGTTCTCACCTCTGGATCCTCTACCTGCCTACTCTCAGCAAAGTGCACCCCTGTGCCCAGCAAAGGCTTGCTGACTGGGTAAATTTTAGCATCCACTCATCTATTCATTCACTTACTGACCATCTACATGCTGAGCGTGGGGCCGGGCCACCAAGAAACCACAGCACCCTCATTATCTGCTCACCTTATTGGTGGCATTGGGAATCCAGACAGGGTTTTATCTAATCAAGATGCAGCTCCTCTAAATTCAAAGTTCTCTGTGGGTTTCAGGGCAGCCTGGGCCGGACCACTCACACTGCGAGCCCTCTGCCGCCGAGGCAAGCCTGACCCTTGGATCTGGACTACACAGGTCCTTGGCACTACCCCAGCTAATCTCAAGACTGAAATGGGGGGCGCCAAACTGCACAAAGGTGTTCAGCCTCTGCATGGCCTGAGCTCCTGCCTGTCTTACCCTCTGGGGACTCTCCAGCTCTGGTTCTTGCTCCCCCTGACAAGCCAGTACCTTCCCCAGGTCTCTATCCAGTTGCTCCTACTCCCTGCCTCCCCTTAGCTGCCGAGGCTCACTCCCAGGACCTCTCCCGACCCACATGCCCTGGGCACAGAGAAGGGTAGAGACCCTGATGACCCTGGGGTCTGGGGCCCACATGGACCCTCCATGGTCCCCGGCACTGGCAGTACCCACCGTCACCCAGGAACTGCAGGAGTGCCAGGTCTATGGCCCGCTTCCAGTGGGAGTCCTTCTGCATAGCGATGCCATAGCCAGTGGTGGCGAAGACTTTGCCAGAGCCAATGGTGACCAGCTTGCAGCCCTCATCCTTGCCCGCCATGTAGTTAAGGACAGCAGCGTCATAGATGAAGGCATCCAGCTTCCTGGGGACACACAGTCCTCAGGCCCAGGGACCGCGAAGAAGGGAGGGAGAAACCAAGCCTGGAGCCTGCCTGGCATCTGAACACACAAGCCCACTGGGCTCTGCTGCAGAGGGACAAATGGGCAGAGCCTTCCCTGGGGCCCCTGGGGCCCAGATGTAGCAAGGAGCCTCCCACCCTCCTCCTCCTCCTCAGAAAGGCCAGGAGACCCTGCCCCCAGAGGACACATGTTCCCCTCTTCCCAGCCTCTCTGTGCGCCTAAAGCCAAGAGAAAGTCACAAGCACCCCCTCAGGCCAAGGTGACCTCTGACCAACACCACAGCTGAGTTCCTGGAACACATGGTGGGCAGCTGTTTTCACTTCAAGCTCCACTCTGCCCCAAGACCTTGTGACACCGTCTCTAGGAGTCATGCAGGACAGCCCAGCCCCACTGTTCCCACCTTGGGTGTCTCCAGAAGGGACAAAACTGGGGAGACATGTGGCCAAACTGGAGAGACAGAGGACGGGCGCGGGGCCACGGACCCACCCCATCTTGAGGCTGGTGAGCGCATCCTCCACCGAGCGCTGGTTGAACTTGACCATGTGGGTGTGCATGTCTCGGTAGTTGCTGCGGATGTTCCGCTCCGTGCTGCCGTTGGGCACCGTGCCAAAGCGGAAGGGTGGGTACTGATCTTGAGGCCGCTGAAACTGCAGGTGAGAGCAACAGCCATTTGTTCCCTCCCTCCAACCTTCTACGCACCTGAGCCCCCAAGCCCAGCCTAGAGCCCAACCCCAGGGCCTGGACTTGCACCATCAGAGTGGAAACGCCTTACACATTGCCCGGGCTGCTCTTGTGTTTTGCAGGTGGAGACCCTGAGGCCCGAGACAGGAGGACACTTACCCAAAGCCACTCAGTCAGCAGATCTCAACGATCTGCTGTCTCCAGCCCCCGCCTCAGCAGGCCCCAGAGCTTCTTCCTGTTCCGGCCTCCAATTCAGATTCCCCAGATCCCAACTGCCCCATGTCTGCCCACCCCAGGCCCGCCCCCACTCCCAGGGGCCGCCCCGCCCTCCACCAGCCGTGGCCCTGGAACCTTCTTGTCGCTGAGGCCTGACACTGTGTCAATGTACTGCTCCTGGATCATGAAGGCAGCCAAGTTGGCAGTGTAGCTGGCGAGGAAGATGACAGCGAAGAAAGCCCAGACGAGGACCATGATCTTGCTGGTGGTACCCCGGGGGTTCTCGATGGGTACCGAGTTGTTGAAGACCAGCGCCCACAGCAGCCACACAGACTTGCCAATGGTGAAGGATGGGCCCCCAGGCTCTGGGTCGTGAAAGGGGGTGAGGCTCAGGCCCTGATTTATTTTTTTCAGTGCTGGGCACTGAACCCGGGGCCTTCACCCTGAATTATATCCCCAGCCCTTTTTTATTTTGAGGCAGGTTCCCACTGAGTCACTAAGTTGCCCAGGCTGGGCTCGAACTTGTGACCCTCTTGCCTTGGCTTCCCAGGGTTCTAGGAGGCATGAGCCACCACGCCCAACTGATTGGGCTCCTCTTGCCCACCACAAGAGGGCTCCTGTCGCAGCCCTGGCCCAGGCAGGGGCCCCACCAGTGGCCATCTGCACCCTGCCCCACCCTCTGGCCCAGGTGACAGCTTACTCTTGCCCTTGGTGAGGGTCTGGTTGTAGCTGACGGGGCTGAAATACTCGAACATGAAGACAGTGACAGCCACCACGGTGAGGCACATGACAAACATCATCACCCACACTGCTGGGCTGTAGGGTTCTAGGGGCAGAGGGAGGCAGCTCACAGACCTTGGTGCCCCTCCGCCTGGCATCACCAGGTGGAGATTGATGACACTAGGTCAAAGGAGGGTCAGGCCAGCCCGTGGGTGGAGCCAGGACAGACCACAAGGAGGTGTCCTGCCTTCCGTTTGCCCTGGGACAGGCATCTCCCTAAGACTTCTGCCCCCCAAGAAGACTTCCTTCCTCTTCACATCCCTTGGCTGGCCCAGCCCAGACGATCGGGTCCTGCTGCCTGGACTCAGAGCCTCTGAGGTTGGGCCTTATTCCTTATCCTACTGCCGCAGGTCTCAGTCCCCCGGAGGAAGAAATCCTTACCGCCATGAGCACTTGCTCCTGGCTGTGAAGATCATCCTAGGAAGTGGGACTTGCTCTTTTCCCCATGGCCAAGGAACTCAATCAGAGAGGGTCAGTGACTTGCCTAAGGCCAGCCAGCAGGAAGGGGCCGCTCTCTCCCTTTCTTAGCACCCCACAGCTGAGCTGTCCTCACAGCTCTCTGCACTGTCTCTCACTGCAAGTCCCACCTGGTCTCCCAGCTGGGCGCTCCGGCAAGGCCAGGACCCCGGCTGTACCTCCCACACCTTGCCGGGGCCTGGCACTGCGGGCCTGACTGAACAGTGCTGAGCTCCAAACTGAGTGAGAAACCGGCATCTCTTCCACACTCCCCTCAGCGCTTCTCCCCGTCCGTGGTCCAGCCCATGGCACAGCCGAAGCCAGCCCGCTGCCCTGGTTTCTGACCCTCACAGCGGCTCCATGGTCTGTCTCACTCTCCCCAGTCCACCCAGACTCAGAACCCGGCACCAGATTCTCATCTTGCTTCTCCACTCCCCTCTGCTCCGATGGCCTCTGAGTCTCCAACCCGAGGGCCGCCCTAATCTCCCCCTCTACCCATTCCGACACGCCCACCCCCTTGGCCCTCCACCCAGGAGCCACCCTGCTGCCCGAGCCTCACCCAGGAAGGCTGAAGGCGACACAGTGCCGTTGCTGCGTGCCACCATCACGCTGATGCCCGTCTCCACAAAGGGCACGGAGAAGTCCACGATTTCAGACCGTTCCTCGTTGATGGTGAGGGAGCCAATGGCCATGTCTGCCCGCTTGTAGTATACCTGGGGGCCCCCAGAGGGTCAGAGAAGGGGGGCCCAAGAGCCGCAGCATTCTCCCCTGTCCTCTCCCAGCACCCCTGCCGGCACCCACCAGTGGAATCTGTCATTCCCCCCGGGGTCCTCAGAGCTCACCTTCCAGTACTGACCACCCCGGGGCAAGGGTTATTACTGGTGACAAACCAGTTCCTCCCACCGCTGGGGGTGACTGAAGGAGGCATGGGGCCTGGCAGCAGGCAAAGTGGCCCGGGGCCAGCCTTGGGAGGGCCTACCTCCCCGATCATGCCATTCCACACGCCGCGCACTCGCTTGCCGTGCTTGCCGTTGGTCACCAGGTACAGGTCGTAGGAGAACTTCACCACCTTGGCCAGCTTCTTGAGGATGTCAATGCAGAAGCCCTTACAACAGAGCTTGGTGTAGGGGGCTGTGTTGCCGCTGCTGAGCCACCACCCAAGAGACCACAGGAGTCAGAGCCCACTGTCACCAGCAACCCCGGCAGCTCCTCCCAACCCAACACGCAGACCTTGCCCCAGAGCCCGTGCACTAAACACACACACACAACAGCCAACCCTCCACAGTAGCACCCAGATCACGCCAGACCTGAAAGTGTGGTTGCTTTGCCTGCGGCAGGGCACAGTGTTGGGTACACAGCCACCGGTGCCAGGGTCAGGGCTCTCCACAATGACAAAGGGCCGCTCTTCCAGTGTGGCCACTGTCAGGTGCCGGCTGTCCACTACGGGCTGCAGAGAGGCACTGTATCGAGGCCACACTGGGTACTTCATATAGAGGACACCATGATCCCAGCGACCCACCTGCAGAGGACAGGCAGCCTCAGCTCTGGACCTTTAGCCTTGCTATCCCCAGCCTCCGGGTGCAGTCTGCCAGGGCCAAGAATCCGCCCTCTCACCTGTCGGGCAGGCAGAGGAAGGCTGGGGCAGGGGCATTTGAGCAGAGCAGGTTGCTAAGCATGAGCCAGCAGGGCAGGCCTCAAGGCCCTTCACTCCGAGGCCCAACATACTTCCATCACCCCACGCTGGTTCCTCCGTGTCCACACCCTCAAACACACCTGCCACGTCACTTTAAAATGGCCCTCTCAGCCGGGCGCGGTGGCGCACGCCTGTAATCCCAGCATTTGGGACGCTGAGGCAAGAGGATCATTGTGAGTTCGAGACCAGCCTGAGCTACAAAGTGAGCTCAAGGCCAGCCTGAACTGCATAGAGAGACCCTGCCTCAAAAAGACAAAAAAAAATAAAATAAAACAAAATGCCCCTCTCTCCATACCAGGCTAGCACCTTTTCCTGCTGGGCTCCTGCTCACCCTGCACAGCCTGCCTCAGCTGTCCATCTTCTGTGAGGCTTCCCCCAGTTCCCTGCTTTGCTCCTCCTCTCTGTCCCCAAAGAACGGTGCACACATCTCCACTCTAGCTCTGATCTCTCCATACCCTATTTGTCTACATGTCTGTCTGGCCTGCACAGAGTGGGTTCCTCCGCCTGAGCCAGGACCATGTGCCTGGTGAGTCTGCAGTGGACAGGAGGCTGGGTGTTACAGGAGCCCAGAGCAGGGGCCCCACCCATCCTGCGGGCTCTGGAAGGCTTCCCAGTGGGGGAGGTTCTCGCTGAGACCTGGAAGATGGGTTGGATGTGGGGCAGAAGGGCCCTGTTCAGCTGTCGGCTCAAGCAGGACTGGGGACAGAGAGGAACCAAGGACCCCTGGGCTCACCCCCTTCTCACCATCTCCCAAAGGCGGTGCCGGTTGAGAGCAATCACAACCATGGTGGGCTGGACCAGGTACCCACCAGGACTGAAGGAGAAGTCTCGGCCCTCCCAGGTGACATTCAGCAAGTGCCTGTGAGGGGAAAGAGATGCCAGGATGTCACGATACCACAGCCTGTGGCCCTGCCCAGGAACCCACCACCACCCAAATCAACAGTAACGCACATGTGTACTTTTTTTTTTTTTTTTTTTTTTTTTACCCTCTAAAAGTTGACTTTTATGTCT